AAGAAATGGAGCATGTTGAATTACTTCGAGAGTATTGAGATGTCTTTGCATGGTCCTATAAAGAGATGCTGAGATTGGATCCTAAGGTAGCAGTCCACAACTTGGCAATCAAACTCGAGGTGAAGCCAATAAAATAAGCTCAAAGGCGATTCTGTCCAGAGTAGATTCCACAAATGGAAGCTGAAGTCAATAAACTCATTGATGCTGGTTTCATAAAGGAATTTAAGTATCCTACTTAGATCTCAAGCATTGTTCCTGTCAAAAAGAAAAATGGACAGTTAAGAATGTGACATCCCAGGTTTGGGGCACAACACCTTAGGCGAATCCCACATTGGCTACGCACAAGGTGGAAGTCCTATACATAAAGGGTGGCAACCTTGGGACAGTTAAGAATGTGACATCCCAGGTTTGGGGCACAACACCTTAGGCGAATCCCACATTGGCTACGCACAAGGTGGAAGTCCTATACATAAAGGGTGGCAACCTTGACTTGGATCCTAAGGTAGCAGTCCACAACTTGCAATCAAACTCGAGGTGAAGCCAATAAAATCAAGCTCAAAGGCGATTCTGTCCAGAGTAGATCTCCACAAATTGGAAGCTGAAGTCAATACAAACTCAATTGATGCTTGGTTTCATAAAGAATTTAAGTTATCCTACTTAGATCTCAAGCATCGGTGTTTCCTGTCAAAAAGAAAAATGCGCACAGTTAAGAATGTGACATCCCAGGTTAGAGGGCACAACACACCTTTTTTAGGCGGAATCCCACATTGGCTACGCACAAAAGGTGAAGTCCTATACACTTAAAGGGTGGCAACTTGAAAACTAGTGTGACGCGTTTTGGTGATGGCAGAGCGAGGTTTCCCTAGGCCCGAGGAAACAAACCGTTGAGGGGTTCAGGCCAGGTTTGGCAACCCAAAGCGGAACAATTATCACACTAGGGCCTGGGCTGTTACAAAGAATTTTGCTTGTTAGATTTTCCGAGATCTAAACCAATGCATTGTCCAAGGAACCCTCTTTCTCCGTATTTATACTTATTTGTATGAAGGTGGACTGTCCTTGAGGTTTCCCTGGCCCAGAAACAAAACCGTGAGGGTTCAGGCCAGGTTTGGCACCCAAAGCGGACAATATCACACTAGGGCTGGGCTGTTACAAAGAATTTGTGTAGATTTTCGAGATCTAAACAATGCATGTCCAAGGGAACCCTCTTTCTCCTATTTATACTTTATTTGTATGAAGGGACTGTCTTTGTTATTTTCTGATACGAAAAGGAGGGGTCTTATTCATGGGTGTCAAGCAGGGAGTAAGTGCCTTAGAACCTTGCATCTTTTATTTGTGGATGATTCTATTTTGTTTTTTATAGCAAATGTTTTTGAAGCTTCTAGAGTAAAATCCATCCAAAGTCTCGGGCCAGTGAGTGAACTTTGGTAAATCCATTGTTTTCTTTAACCCAAATGTGAATGATGAGTTAAGACATAATATTTTGGGAATTCTTGATGTTTATAGTCCATTAGGTGGGGGAATTATCTTGAATTGCCTTCACTTATTGAAGAAATGAGAGACAGATTTGTGATTTTATTAAAGAGAGGCTTAGTAGAAGCTTAGTAGAAGGATAAATGGGTGGAATAACAGATTTTTGCCGTGAGTAGGGCATGAGATTCTTCTAAAATCAGTAGCCTAGGCTGCCCCTTCCTTTTGTATGAGTGTTTTTCTCCTTCCTTTATCTACTTATAATGAGTTCCATAAAGTAATGAATAATTTTTGGTGGGGGAGGGGGGTAAGCGAAATAGTGGTAGAGGTATAAACTGGCTTGCATGGGATATGATGTGTAGTCATAAATTGGTTGGTGGTATGGGGTTTAGAGATCTCCATTATTTCAATGTTGCAAGCACGGGTGGAGGTATTAACTGACACCAACACTCTCCTTTATTATATTTTCAAAGCTAAATATTTCCTATAGGGGGATTTTCTGAAGGCTTCTTTAGGAAGAAATCCGAGTGTTGTATGGAAGAGTGTTTTGTTTTCTAGTGGAATGTTGAAGTAAGGGCTTAGATGGAGGGGGGGGGGGTAATGGTGAGGGTATTAAGGGGGCTTATTGATCCTTAGATTCCAAAAAAAATGATACTTTTTTTCTATAGATAGGGTCACATCCTTTATTAATCCTTTGTTGATCCTAATATGCAAGCGAGAGATCTCTTTGTGAGAGGCCAATTATTAGGATACCTATTAACTCTTTTGAGAGGGAGGACATTTTTAGGTGGCATTTTGATCGAAAGGGAGTCTACAAGGTCAAATTCGAGTACTGTGTGAGCTTAAAATATTTGGGAAGGGAACCCCTAATGTTAAATGGGGATATTTGGAGTAGAGTATAGAGTCTTGATCGTCCCCTAAAGATCAAGGATTTTATGTGGTGTGCTAGTCGAAATTTACTTCCCACGAAGGAGAGGTTGAACCGAAGAGGGTTGAATATTGATGGGAGGTTTTTTTTTTTTTTTTATTTACAATGATATGGAGGATATTGATCACATTTTAGTTCATTACAATAGGTGAATGGGTGCATGGAGGTTGGGAGGTTTTGGTGCACTAAATGCCAACATCTCTTATTAAGATTTCTTTTTGCAGGTTCTCAACTCTAGAGGGAAAGAAGTTGTTGAGTTTCTTGTAGTTATTGCTTGGAAAATATCGGCACTAAGAAATAAGATGTTGTGGAATGAACAAGGAAGCTTAGCCATTGATGTTCACGTCGCAGTAACAAGGTACGTGCTGAAGTGGAGGAATTGTGACCAGTCTAGTAGGCCCACGTCTACGTCCATGTCAATGTTGTCTCACCATGCATATGCAGCAGCGTCTATCGCTTCGTCAAGGTACCAAAAAGGCAGGTTTTAGCGGCCGTGTCAGGGTTTATTATTGAAAATAGTTGGGGAAGGTTTCAACAGGCCGTGTCAAGAGGGCACTATCAATCCGAAAATAGTAGAGGCCATTGCACTCCATTCTTGCCTTATATCAAGATTATTTATCTTTAAATGGTTATATTTTTTTCTAATTGTCAAAGCCTTGTTAATGCCCTTAGTTCACCGGTGGTGGACAACTCTGAATTTGGTTTAATAGTTTTGGATTATATGAGGATTTTAGAGCTTAGGCATGATATAAGTGTTAGGTGGATTCGGAAATAAGCAATAGATGCATTCATTTCTTAGCTAGAGCGTCTATTCTACATGCTCGTTCCCAAATTCGGGATGATGTTCCTTCTTGTTTGTTGGACCTTTTCCTTTGAGGTAATAAATTTTTGTTTCCTTAAAAAAAATACAGTAGGTGTAAACGAGTTCAAGAAATATGTATCTTGCCACAAGAAGTGGAAGAATTATGAAGGAAAAGAAAAGAAACAAATAAGAATAACCATCAAATCAACTTTTGAAAATATTTGTTATCAAAATAGCATTATTAGACATGGGTCCTGTATTTGTTGTACACTAGAAAACAAGGTTTTTAACTTTATTAAAAAAGAAAAAAATATATGTAATTTTTGCCTACAATGATGATGATTTTGAAGATGGTAATATTTATATTATTTATAAAAAAATAATTCTCCTTCAGTAATGAGCCAGGTTTATGTTAACAAAATATTCTTTAGGCTCTATAAGAAAAAATATATTATTACCTAGAGGAACAAATTTCATTATTAATGATTCATTATTTTCTCTGTAATATCATAAATATTTATTGAGCTTTAAAGATATTCACCAAAATAGATATTAATATTGAGATAAAACAAATTATGGTAAACGTTGCAAATTATGGTAAACGTTGTATTGAATTAGAAATGGATATTAGATGAATTATATGCTTTACCCTCTAGTTTGTACTACAAGCATATTTATATAATTAAATCAATATGGTTGAAAATCAAAAGTTTATAGATACAAGTACCTTTACTAGTTCGAATTAGTCGGTTGAGTCATCCTAAAGCAATTATGAGATAAAAAAAATTCTTAAGACCTCACACGGCCTCCATTGAAGAACTAGAAGATTCTTTAATATAATGAATTTTCATGTTTAAGATGTTTGCATGGCAAATTGATTATTAGGTTATCACTATATAAAGTTCAGATTGAATCACTTACGTTTCTAGAACCTAATACAAGGAAATATTCGTGGACCAATTCATCCATCATATAAACATTCCAATATTTTATGGTTTCAATGCAGATATATCGATAAGATATCATATACATATCTATTATCAATTTGAAACCTAACTTTTACGAGAATATTTGCTTAAATAATTTTGATCAACAGCATAATTTCTAGGTTGTGCTATTTACTATTCGTCTCAATAATATTGATGAATATATATATATATATATATGTGTGTGTGTGTGTGTGTGTGTGTGTGTGTGTGCGTCTCCAATAATATTGATGAATATCATAATATATATATATGTTGTGTGTGTGTGTGTGTGTGCTGTGAATATATATATATATATATATGTGTGTGTGTGTGTGTGTGTGTGTGTGTGTGTGTTAGAATGACTATTTCATGTCAAATGGAAGAATTTTTTATTGCTTATGTTACATAAAGTGATATGAAAGAATCATTTATTTAAACAATTGTAATTGATATTTCTATTTGGGGATATGCTATCTTAGGTAATGTAACATTTATTTAGGTTAAGCTAACGCAGAACGGTTATGTGAATGGGAAGAATGATTATACTCCATCAGGAGCTTTGATCAATAACATTTGATCTGAAGAATAAAATAGGGAACTTAAACTTTCAAAGAAGTTTATTGATGTGAATAATGTTCAAAACATAAAGAATGAATCAATAATACAAAATATAACCTATTTATAGTTTAGGTTAAAAGTATAAAACCCTAAAAATAACAAAAATTCGTAAATAGGCAAAACCCTAATGAGGGATGCGGCACGGGCATGCGGGACATGGCACGGGTGTGCCGAGGACTCTCAGAGGGTAGTACGGGGCGTGCTGACACTCGAATCCTCAAGGACTCATTAGCACGGGCGTGCTTAGACTTCTAGAGGCTAGCACGGGTGGGTCTGGCTGTAGCACGGGTGTGCCTGTGTTCCTCATGCTTGAGCGTGCCTCGCGTCCTAGACTCTCAGAGGCTGGCACGGGCGTGCTGGAAATGGCACTGCCATGCCCCTTCTTCTTGGATTTGCAACGATCAAAGTCTTCCATATATTTAAGTGCTAGTTGCTTCGCATCAATCCCTCCTTCAAAAGGACTCGACCTCAAGTGATCATCATCAGAATAGAAAGGAAACAAATCAGCAACATTAAAAGTCCTGAAAATCTTCATGTCTTCGTGCAGGTCAAGTACATAGGCATTATCATTAATCTTCTTGAATATCTGAAATGGGCCAATCTTTTGCAAATCAAGCTTCTTCTGTCCTCCGCCATACTCCTTATGAAGATAAACTATGACCCAATCACCCACAGTAAAAGACTTATGACTCTAGTGTTTACTAGCTGCAGCTTTATATTTTTCGTTGGCAGCAGTGATGAAGTGCTGCACTTGTTTGAATACCTCCACATGTTCGGTAGCCAAATTATTGGCTGCGATGCTCTTTTCTACACCTGCTGGAAGGGAAAGAAGATCAAGAGTATGGGCAGGTACCTTCCGGGAGACAATTGCAAACGGTGACATCTTGGTGGAGCTATGGATAGCACTGTTGTAAGCAAATTCTGCTTGGGCAAGAGCAAGATCCCACATTTTTTTTCTCACTGTAAAGGCACCTAAGGAGATTACCAAGAGTCCGGTTCACCACTCCAGTTTGTCCATCAGTTTTGGGGTGAGCAATGCTGCTGTAGTGAAGTTGAGTGTTGAATGTCTTCCACAAAGTTGTCCAAAAGTGAGCTAGAAACTTTGTGTCTCAGTGAGATGTGATGGTTTTGGGAATGCCATGCAAACGAACAATCTCCTGGAAAAATAACTTTGCTACGTGTGACGCATCATTAGTTTGCTTGCAAGGGATAAAGTGTGCCATAATGAAGAACCTGTCTACAACAACAAAAATAGAGTCAACTCCGCATTGAGTTCGAGGTAAACCCAACATAAAATCCATGGGTAAGTCCTCCCAAGGTTGTTCTGGTACAGCCATTGGAGTGTAAAGGCCGGTGTTTTGAGAATGGCCCTTTTGTATCTGGCAAATAGAAAATTTTTGTACTAGCTTTCCTGTTTCCTTCTTCAATTGTGGCTAATAGAAACGAGCCTCCAAACCAGCAATAGTTTTATCACGACCCAGGTGTCCACTCAATCCTCCACCATGGATTTCTCTAATTAATTTTTCCCCAAGGGAAGACCGAGGGATGCATAGTCTGTTTTCTTTAAAGAGGTACCCGTCATGAACCAAAAAATCGTCGGTAGGCTATTTAGCTCCAATCTTAACCCATATGTTAGCAAAGTCTTCATCTGAGACATAGAGATCTTTAAGAAATTCAAACCCCACAATCTCTTGCTTAATTGTGATCAACAAAGCTACTCTCCTGCTTAAAGCATCCACTACCGTGTTACAAGTACCTGATTTGTGCTTGATGACATAATGGAAAGCACCAAAATAAGTTGCCCAATGTGCATGCATCTTGCTCACTTTCTTTTGAGTTTGAAAATGAGTTAAAGCATGATGATCAGTGTAAATGATGAACTCACGCTAAATGATGAACTCACGCCCCAACAAATAGTGTTCCCAAGTCTTGAAAGCTCGAAAAACTGCATACGACTCTTATTCATAAGTAGACCGTTTCTACCTATTTTCATTCAACTTCTCACTAAAAATGCAATAGGCTTTCTAGATTGAGACAAAACACCACCAATTCCAATTCCGCAAGCATCACAATCAACCTCAAACAATTTATCAAAATCAGGCATAACAAGAATAGGGGCGGAAGTAAGCTTATCTTTGATATCTTTAAAGCTCTTGTTTGCAGCTTCGGTCCGCACAAATTGATGAACTTTCTCCTCCTTTAAACAGTCTGTAATAGGCGCGATGATGCTGCTAAAATTTTTGATGAATCGTCTATAGAAAGTAGCAAGACCATGGAAACTACGAACTTCAATGATGTTCTTGGGAATAGGCCAATTTTGAATGGCCTCAATCTTCCTGTCATCAATATGAATCCCTTCCGAGCTAACAATATAGCCAAGAAATAGAATCTGCTCCGTCATAAAGCTGCACTTCTTAAGGTTGATGTACAACTCATTTTTCTACAAAGCATCCAACATCCATCGAAGGTGCTGAAGGTGTTCTTCCTCACTGTGACTGAAAATAAGATGTCATCAAAGTAAACAACCACAAATTTGCACAAGAAAGGATGCAAAACAAAGAAGGATGCAAAACTTGAGTCATAAGTCGCATGAATGTGCTCGGTGCATTAGTCAACCCAAATGGCATAACCAACCACTCATATAATCCTTCTTTAGTCTTAAATGCAGTCTTCCATTCATCTCCCTCCTTGATTCGAATTTGATGATACCCGCTACGAAGATCTATTTTAGAGAACACTATAGATCTTGACAGTTGGTCCAACATGTCCTCCAGGCGAGGAATAGGGAATCGATACTGCACTGTGATCTTGTTGACTGCTCGACTATCAACACACATCCTCCAAGTCCCATCTTTTTTTGGTACTAATAAGGCAGGAACCCCACAAGGACCCACAAGGACGAATGCTCTCCTGGATGTGACCCTTTTTCAATAATTCTTCTACCTGTTCTTGAAGGATCTGGCTCTCCTTTTGATTCATCTTATAATGGGACAGGTTTGGGATTTTTGATCTAGGGATGAAATCAATCTGATATTGAATGTCCCGCAAAGGTGGACGTGTAGATGGATCATCCACTACAGCATGAAATTCCTCTAGTAACTCTTTGACTGGTGGTGGTACTAGTGCCCCTTCATTAGAGCCTGTCTTTGGTTTAATCAGCTATGTCAACACACTTTTGGACTTCTTAATTGCACCAGATAATTCCTACACATTGGAAGAAACAGCTACTATGAATTTCCCCTCCACTTTAGAAGCTTTGGCAGAAGATCCAGAAGGTAGGACAATGATTTTCTTGTTTTTCCAAGTGAACATGTATGAATTTTCTCTACCAATTTTCTCTACCGTTGTGCAATGCATCTACATCAAACTGCCATGGACGTCCCAATAGTACTCCGCAGGCATCCATATCCACAACATCATAACTAACACAGTCTGAGTATGATTTTCCCATTACGATAGGAACCTTGCAAACTCGGTTTACTTCAATTGTTGGGCCCTCTTTAATCCACCCTACCTTGTACGGTGAAGGATGTGGTTCTGTGGGTAGATTTTGTTTTTCAAACAACTGCTTGGCTATTAAATTTTCACAGCTAGCTTCACCAACCCGACATTTAGCTTGGAAAATTTTTCTTCGTTGAGTTTCGCTTTCTTGTCTTTGTGAGCACAAAAATTTCTGAATAACAAACACGACCTCACCTTTTTCTAAACTAGCGATGGATCCTTCATCTTTGTCTTTTGCCTCTTTAACCTCAGTCACCTCATCCACAACATTAACTTGTCGAGGCTCATCATTAGCCCCCCTACATTCTGGACATATATTACATGTATGTCCCTATTTTCTACATCGATAAAAATAGTCTCCGGTTGGTTTCTGATATGGATTCGACTTATTGTTTCTGTCTGCCATGGGTGCCTTTCCCTGGGAGTCTTTCTTTTCTTCTATGGTGAGTTGCTATGAACCTTGGTTGTTACCAAGAGTTGTTGTTCTTGAATTCTGTCCATCGGAATTTCTATTGAACTGTTGATTTTCGGATGGATAGGATTGCCCGAAATTCTAATTTCGATTAGGCGGTTGTCGAGGCTGCCAGTTAATCCTATCTTCTGCACGTTTGGCCAGTTTGGCCATCTCAATTGCATCTGCCAATGTGAAAATTGCAACCACACCCACCATACACATTATATCATGGTTTAGTCCCCTCTGATAATGAGCTACCTACTGGGATTCGGTTTCACAGTTGTCACAACGAGCCTTTAATCTCAAAAATTCTTCTGTATACTCATCAACCTTTCGATTTCCCTGAAAGTAGTCATGGTACCTGTTATACAAAATTTGAGAGTGGTCATTGGGAAGGAAATGTTGTTCAATCATCTATTTTATTAAAATCCAATCCCGCACAGGTTCAATCGTTCGACGATGGCGTTCGTTTTGAACAGAATGCCAACATGCTAATGCACCTCCGTTTAGTTTATAGGCCACTATGGAAACTTTACGTTCATCCTCAACATTCATGACATTCATGACCTCAAAGAATCGCTTCGGACCTCCGCTAGCCAATCAAGGAGTGGCTTTTCAATATAGCGATCCTGAGAAAGGTTGAAGGTCTACCTTTATTTTGTATCCATCATGAAAGTTTTCACCATTGTTTCTATAATCTCGGCCTCCATCATAACGATTTTGGCCCCTTGCATAATCAGGTTGCTGTTGATTCGGCCCTACTGTTGCAGCTGCAGGTTGTTGGTTTCCTTAATCACTGTCTAATCTGTTCAGTTAACTCATCGAATTTCACCTCTATGGCTGTGAGTCGTGCTTCATGATTGTCGACCATGGAGATACTTTGCCTTTCGGCTCTGATACCAACTTCCAGAGGCTAACACAGGTGGGTCTGGCTGTAGCACGGGTGTGCTTGTGTTCCTCATGCTTGGGCGTGCCTCGCGTCCTGGACTCTCAGAGGCTGGCACAGACGTGCTGGAAATGCCACGGCCGTGCCCCTTCTTCTTGAATTTGCAGCGATCCAAGTTTCTTCTTGAATTTGCAAGCGATCCAAGTCTCCATATAATTTAAAGTGCTAGTTTGCTTCGCATCATAAGCAATAAATTATGCATAAAATTTTCTCTGAAACAATTGGTTTTTTTTGGATTAGGAAATTAAAATAGTTCATATTCAAAATTTTGAATATAGGAACATGATTTGTATTAATTACTTCAATCAGTCCAAAAGGAGATTAAATAATATTGTATATGAATTCTATTTACAATCAAAATATTCAGAAACCTTAAACTTAGAGATTTATTTATGGGTTTACGTTTTAATTGAATTGGTTATCTTAATGAATCAGTTTTAAATTCGACATTTATAGTAGATACTAAAATAGAAAAGGCT